GACGTCTAATTAATGGGATTTTACTTCGGCGGAATTTCTGACCAAGGTAAAGCTTCAATAGAAAATCTATTATCTATAGTAGTGAATATAAAAGATACTTAGTTTCCTTTCAATTTTTTGTTAAACGATTTAATAAGATCTAACAAATGATATTTCCAAAGTCGTGGTGTTAAAGTTGGTATTTGTGTTGTTGGAGTTTATTTGAATTCTAAATTGCTTAAATTTTGGGGTTGTTGAATGTATAAATATGTGAAGACAACCTCACACTCTGAGGTTGATTTTAAGGAATGAGATCCAATATGGGTATTTGACTAATGCCAACGCTATGAATGAGGCTGAGTGTTGAAGTTGGTAAGGAATCTAATGTTGGCATTTGACCCAGACCCACAATAGGTGTGATAGTGGGCATTGAAGTTGGTATTTGTGTTGTAGGGGTTTGTTCAATGACCCATAATGCTTAATTTCCCAACCTATTGATTGTATAAATTTGTGAAGGCATCCTCATCCTTTGAGGTAGCTTTTGGGGTTGAGATTCAAACATATTTAACTAAGGTGAGTGTTAAAGTTGGCATTTGTGTTTTTGGAGTTTGTTTGAAGTCCCACATGGCTTAGGTTTCTGGGCCGTTAAATATATAAACATGTGACGACAACTTTACTATTTGAGCTAACTCTTGAGATTGAGATTCAAGCATATTTAACATGGTATTATAAGAGTCAGGTGAATGACTGCAATCAGGATATTTGACCTACGCCCACATCAGGCATGAGGTTGGTATTGAAGTTGATATTTGTGTTGTTGGAGTTTGTTTGAATTATCGTATTTCTTAGGTTCCTAGGATGTTGATTGTATAAATATGTGAGGGAAACCTCACCATTTGAGATAACTTTTTGGGTTGAGATCCAAACATATTTAACTAGGGTGGGTGTTGAAGTATATATTTGTATTATTGAAGTTTGTTTGAAGTTCTACATTGCTTAGGTTTTTGTGTTGTTTGTCTGAATATGCAAGGGCAACCTCACCATTTGAACTAGATTTTAAGAGATGAGATCCAAACATATTTAATAGTTGGATGGGCCCAAACTTTCAACCATACAGATATAAGGCCCTGGATCTTAGTTGTGAATCTGCCATTGAATCCTAAATGAACAATATCTTCATTTTCATGAAAGAAAGTAACACAAGACAACATATGGACTCTTGACAAAATTCCTCTTTTGTGCAATTCATGTAGAGTTTGAAGTCGATTTAAGAGCAGCCTCCAACCAATTTTTTAATGGTATATTGGTTTTCAAATGACCTTAATTATTTTCTTAGATATCCTGATATACTCTGCTGTTATAAAATGGGAATCAGTCTATTTCCAACACGATTAAACCAAAAAATTGTAAATTCGGTTAGCATACCCGATAATTTTGTCTATGTTTGTTCTTATTAGTTTAATTATATGTATAATGGAGATCAACTTCACATGTTGTTCTTATAGAGAATCATTCGGCATGAAGCTTGACAATTAACTGACCAGTACCTTTCATTACCACTCCAACTTTTCAAATCACCAATATAACTGTTGTGAAGTTGAGAATGCATCACAAACTGTAAACTAATTGTTGTGTATTGTTCTCGCTCCATTTTTACTTTCAAATTATAATATTTCTTCCATCCTCTAGCTTAATCTTCACATATTTTACGAACCAACATTTTTGGTTCAACTTAGAGTTTCAGCACATAACAAGTCCCTCTACCAAATTAAGTCTTTTGGCTTGATTCTTGGCATATCACTATCAAAAAATTTAAAATTTAAAGGGATATATATGTAGGATATTAGACTAGACCAGATTGTATCAATCGTATTTGAAACTCGCCAAATATGTTTCTCTAATCAAATAGTGTGTCTAATGATGATGTATATCTCGAAAATTTATATTAAGACTCATCAAAAGAAGATTCAAGGTTTCATTGAAGTGTTAATGGGAAAGATGATGTAGAAAGTATTGAACATGTGACTCCATACACAAGAGGCACTACTATGGAAAATCAATATCACAATGATTGGAAAAGGGATACCACAATGATTGACCAACCGTTGTGAGGTAAGGGGCGATTGTATGTATGATTATTTTTAACTTGGTAGCGCGACCGTAATTATAAGTCAAGTAGTGTGCTATCTATAATAGTTACTTCAAACAACCGTTGTGATATGCTTTAATCCAAAATATTTAACAACGGTTGTCTAAACATATAAACTTTCATTATAATCTAGAAAATTATAATATGACAAATTAAGTTATATTAGAAGAAAAAATTACACGTTTAATGCTAAACAAGAATTATTCAGCTTCTTAACCATATTTTTCTCTTTAATTGTTAGAACTTAGTTTAATGCTCCTAGATCTTCAACCTCCATCCGTTCACCTCCATTTCATTTTACAAGATATTATTTACTTTGCACAAATAATTATAGGCGAAGGAAGGGGAGGTTGAAGAACAAGAAGCGTTAAACCAAGTCCTATAATTGTTAAAGAGCGAAGTACAAATAATGGTCTAAAGAATTCTTGTCTATAATTGAATGTGTAACTTGTTTTCTAATATAATTTTATCTATTATATTATAATTTTCTAATACAATCCAAAAAGTTATATATTCGGTAAGGTGTTGAAAAAACACACAAACCACATAAGATATAATACACATCTAAAACAAATATTAAAAACAACATTCATTAACAATAATATAACTTTTATATGTAACAACAACATCAACTCATAAAATGTGTAAAAAACGTACATGTCACATAATAGAATCTAAAATGAAAGGAAAGGAGAATGTAGCAAAAGTGAGAGCAGCAAACATGTGTTAATCGATAAATTTTCAGTGTTCATGCAAGTTTGCGGCGCTCACTTTAGCTTCATCCTCGTTAATTTTTTTTCATTCACCCATCTATCCATATCTAAAAATCAAAACAAGCAGAAACATAAACAAGTCAAAACATTTTGAAAAAATCTATTGAAACCTAAATAATAATATATAAAAAGAGTTTGAAACATAAATTAAAACGATGCATAAGTTTGGTGAAGACGAACCTCATGGTAGCCCTAGGTTTGAAGAAGATGAAATTGTTACATAAGTTTGGTGAAGACGAACTTGAAGGTAACCATAGGTGAGATGAGTGACATAAATGTTAAGGTTTTGTTTTGAGAGAGAAGAGTGAAATATGTTATGGTTTTTCTTTTGAGAGAAACGATTGTTATGTACTAAATGAGAGATGATTCCACTTATATATAATTAAGTATCACCTTTCACTACATTTGATAAGACAAACCGTGATGAAATGATTAAACTTTACACCACGGTTGACTAAAAGAACCATGGTGATATACAAGGACAATCTCATTTTATGACGATAAATAGAAAATTGTTGGAGCTGTGAATCGAACCCTAAAACTCCTGGTATATTTTACCGAGGTTTTTAACTATGACAGTAGTGAAATTTATTTTAGTAAATACAAAAAAAATACTCAAAAATGAGTTATTATTACGGTTAACATGGAGACCGTTGTAATATTATGTTACGAAAAGTTTTTATGTGATAGTGAGAGGGTGAATTGTGAAGATTTAAAAAACAATAGTCTAAAACTAAATGATTTTCTAAATCAGAGTTTACAGTACTTTAATAAGATATTTTAAGCTTATATTATAATAAGTTTCTCAAATAAATATATTACAAAACATGTTTACATTTATTCCTTATAGGGTTTTGTTTTGAGAGAGAAGAGTGAAATATGTTAGGGTTTTCTTTTAAGAGAAATAACTGTTATGTACTGAGGGAGAGATAATTTTTCTTATATATATATAATAGGTATCACCTTTCACCATAGTCGATAAGACGAATCGTGATGAAATGATTGAACTTTACACCACGAGGACAATCCCATTTTATGACGATAAATAGAAAATTATCGGAACTGAGATTCGAACACGGTAACTCCTAGTACATTTCACTGTGATTTTTAACTATGACTGCAGTGAAACGTCTTTTAGTAAATATTGGGGTGTTCGCGGTGCGGTTTGGGCGATTTTGAAGCAAAAAATCACTCGAACCGCAAGAGAAAAAAATATGCGGTTCGGTTTGGTTCGGTTGGCTTTTAAAAATAAATCCGAACCAAACCAAGCTAATGTGGTTTGAATTGGTTCGGTTGATTCGGTTTTTTATAAAAAAATTATTAAGCCATACATACAGATAAAGAGGAAAATATAATTTTGCATTTAATTGTTCATACATTACCATAATGTTTTTTTATAATTGTCAAAATAAGTTTATAATTTGATACATAAAATTGCGTATTATAATTTTATCTAAATCTAAAGAATGATATAGACAAGATTGCATTCTTAAATAAATACTATACAAAGAATACAATAAAATATATTTTGTGAAAATAGTATTTATAAATGAATAATTTTTTTTTTATGATTTGTAAATTAAAATAAATATAATACAAAATATGATAAAATATACGCATAATACATGTTGATTTCTCTAAAGAATTAAAGAAATATATATTAGTTAGTAAAATTTTATAACATAATACGGTTTTGTTTGGTTTGGTTCGGTTTATAAAATACAAACCCCAAACCAAACTGAACCACGCAGTTCCGTGAGAAAATGACTCAAACACATCCGAATCAAATGCGATTTTTTATGATTTCGGTTTGGTTCAGTTTAGTTTTGCGATTTTCTATTGTGGAGATTTAAAAAATAATAATTTAAAACAAAATCATTTTTTAAATCAGAGTTTATAGCACTTCATTAATATATTTTAAGCTTATATTACAATAAGCTTCTGAGAAAAATATATTACAAAATACATTTTACAATTATTCCTTATACATAAACACTTACATAACAGAAACTTGTACAAGTGCTTACTTTCATTATTTTCCATTTCACAAAGTAATACTAGAAATTGATGGCTTAATCCTTCCACATACACACACTATTCTATAGAAGAAATCTAGAGAGGCCAACTTTATCACCTGTTTGATTGACATCTTGCAGAGTCTGTTGTCTATACTCTCTCAAAGTGAACCTCTTATAGAGAGCTGGCTTGTTTTCACTTTGTATAACTGCATCATTGAAGGGGCAATAGAAAAATGCAGTAGAAAACCTCTCTTCCTCAGCAGCAACAACTCTGTGCTTAATGCTTTTGTAAACATTATTACTTATTGCCTACAAATATTTTTGTGAACATTAGCTCTTTTATATACTCGTGCTTATATAAACAAAAACCTTAGAGATTATTTGATTATAAGATAAGAGATACATGGTAGAATAAGTTATTATGTCTTCTTACAATAATAAGAAAACACATTTATTATCAACATTATACGGATATTGATATTAATTTAATTTTTTTAACAAATTAAAAATAATTTACTTTCCACGATATTTTTTTCATTAAAAAATATATATTATATATTCATTTAGTTTCTCAATCTTATAACATAGAATTATTTAGTTACACATATGGTTCTTTAAAAAATTTAAAAAATTATTTTATAATAGTAATGGTTTTCTCAAACAATTTATGTATATATATATCTTCAGATCAAACTCAATGTGTATAAGTTTAATAGGTAAGATATATTCCAGAACAAATACAGTGTCATAAACAATTATAAGGAGGGGAGCCCCCCCACCTCCCAACAAGTTCATCTTTGGTTTTCTATGACTTTCTAAATTGGACTATTATGATAATAATTTGGAGGGCTTTGTAGCCATTATCAACTGCAAACTGGTTGGAAAATGGGAGCATAATATACATATACAGATATATGGACATTATTATAATAAGACTAGCCACCTCACTAATCAATATCATTCTTATTTTAAGAGTCTATTATAAAATTTCACACACTAGTTACAATATAAAAAGTATAAATTTAAACTATTAAAAATAATCGTTGAAGCAAACCCAATTGCCAAGTTAACTAAATTGAAGTTAAAATAATTAATTGTTATGTTTATTTATACTATATAAAATAGTTCTAAAACTGAAAATTAAAATTAAAATATAATCGAATGAAATTGAAAATTAAAAATATTAAAAATAAATGTGAAATTTATTATTGAAAAAAATAGAAAAAGTATAACGATTCGATTATCTAACAAATGATTTAGTTTGAAAATTGTCTTCTAATAATATGATATGGTTTATAATTCCTAATCGATATATCAAATTAATAATTTTAAATTGCTTCAGTTATGAATAAATTAAAACAGTTTGATTCAATTATGATGACTTTTTAATATAATTCGGTCTGATTTAATTGAAAATAGTAAAATTTGCAAATTTAGAAGATGTAATAAGAGGAAATATATAAAATCACCTGAAATAAATCACCAATATTAACAACTAGTGCACTTGGATTAGGCTTGACATCAACCCATTTTCCATCTTTCATCAATTGCAATCCCCCAATTTGGTCTTGATAAAGGATGGTAAGGAAACTAGTGTCACTATGTGGCAAGATGCCATACACCTTTGAAGATATAGGGCATGGAGGATATCTATTGAGTCGAATGAAAGAACTTTTTGGCAAGTAATTCTCTTGGAAATGGTTGGAATTCATATTCACTTTGATGGCAAGAATCTCTACCAAGTTTTCAGTAAGAGTGGCCATTCTTGTTGCAAAAGCTTCAAGGCTTGATCTATACTTACAATAGGTATTTGTATTAAGGCACAGTAAAATTAAATATATCTGACATTTTTTTTATTACACATTAATTTCTATAAATTTCTCTAAATTATAATGAAAAAGACCTTAAAAATGGGGGCAGCAGTGATCCTTTAAATTACCAAACATAAGTATAATATTTTTGAGCTGATTAATCATATCCTAATCACCCTTTTCGGTTTAAGTAAATATTAATAAAATATTACTTCTCTTATTTTTTAAAACAACCCAAATCTAATATATTTATGGAAAATTTCTCACCTTATAAATTAAATTTTTGTATGGTTGAGTTTCTTTGAAATTTCAAAAGTATCTATTTGAAAAAACAACATTTCCTTAACTCTAACAAGTGTACTCGTCGATAAAACTCAATTTCTTTTGTCTTTGCAAGTACATTTCAGAAATTTTGTGCATGTGGGTGGATTAAATTTTTGAATTTTTTCACAAATATACCATCTTTTTCTAATTTAAATACTAAATTACTATTCTCTCATCCATAAATATCAAAATATCATCTTTTCAAACAAAAAATAATATTTTAAAATATATCTTTAGACGGACTCTCCTATTTTATATATATATATTTATTATATTTTATTTTCCTACAATTTTTTTTTAAATTGAGTTATTTAAAATTTTCTGTAGATTTTGTTACAGAATTTCTTTCGTACGAAATTTTTTACGAATTTACCAATAGAATTTAATAAAATCATATGTTTGAGAAATTCGCGGATAATTTCGTAAAAATATTATTCCACAGATAAATTCCACAAGAAAATCAATAAAAATTAAATAAATAATTAAAAAAAAATTACACATCCATCAAATAAATAGACAGAACCTTTTTATTTTATACTCTTCCACCCTTTAAATAGGCGGAACCTCTTTATCAATAACAATTTTTTTTAAAACTATAATATATATATATATATATATATATATATATATATATATATATATATATATATATATATATATATATATATATATATATATATATATATATATATATATATATATATATATATATATATATATTAATGAATTAAGTGTTAGTTTGATATTTCTTTTTCAAAAAGATAATAGGACAATAAAATTTTCAAAGTTTCTCTAATACTTTTTCCATTTACGTACACCTCTTTTGAATGAATTATTTTTGCTAAAGGAAAAAAATGACCATACCTAATTTTGGCAAGAGCAGAATTTGAAATTTGAAGCATAGCTTTTGTTTTGGCTCTAAATTCATGCATCTTATTTATAATAGTACTTTCTTTGCAGTTTCATCCTTCAAGACAATTCACCGACTCCAAAAAAATCAAGCATTTTACAGTTTTATATATTGCAATCAAAAAAGTAAAAATATATATGATAAAAAAATTATATTGTCAATCAATCATATCTTTTAAATTATTGATCAGGTTTAAATTTTAATTATAATTATTAATTTAAAGAAATCATACCTGAGAGTTATGTGCTGTTCCATATTTGGTATATCTGTGAGAGGAAAATGAAAGGCTTCTAACCAAGAAAGTTGTGTTAGATTTGTTGCACATGGATTTCCCCATCTGTATGTTTTTGGAGACAAATTAAAGAGAGTTTCTGCACACAACTTATTCACAAAAGGCTCATGGAACAATTTCTTTTGCTCAGATATCATGTCCTCCATAATCTCATTTGAAACTCCATGATTTATAACCTGAAAGAACCCCCATTCACTTGCAGCTTCACTTATTTCTTTCATGCATTCATCTCTTTCCTCTTCGTTACTTAACCTCTCTAGATCAATCAAAGGTAGTTGTACATCATCACTTCTCTCTACCATAGAGTACAAGTTTGTATCCTCTTCAAGGCTTTTTTCCAAAAGGGTCTTGTATGTATTCAGAAATGGTGGTTCATAATCCATTTGAGTCAAGAGGCTGTGGAAACCATTAAATATCAAAATTATTAACTTCCTATTAATTAAGTTATTTATTTATCAATTTTATTTTGAAGCAAAATTAATGATAAAAACCCTAATTAGTGAAGAGGAAAAGAAAGAGGTGTTTCTATACTCGAAAACAAGACTAAAAATACAACCAACATATATATTTCACAGTATGTATTCAGTGCCCTAATTTCTCTTATACTCACGCACACATATACATGTATTATGTAAAATATTGATATATGAGATTTAAAGGTTTCATAAGATGATAAGAAAAACAAGTGTGTACATACACTAAGATCGATCACCTGTGAGTTGTTGACTTTGAAATGAAAGATTATGGAATTTAAAGCACTTTGGTATGAAAGTATATTTAGTATATAGTTTGGATATTGGTTAATGAAATTGTGATTTGAGTAGTGATATTTATATGCATCCATGAAGTGAGGAAATAGTCGCACTGAAATTGAGTATATGGTTGAAGCAGAGAACACGCGGCAAAACATATCATCAGAGAAAGAGTGGACACCTAGACTCATGTAATTACAAATGTATTTATAGAGATATATAAGAAAATCATAAATATATAATATATGTATATGTATGAATGATGATTTAATGACCTCAAATGATTGGAATTGAAATATTACCAAATAAAATTACACTTTTAATAGATCGTAATTGTTAAATAAATGTTTAATGTTATAATGTATATATATGTGTCTATAATTTTCTTAATTATATCCTTTGTCATTGAAAAATATATATTATATTTTTTTCGATAATCACTTGTATTAAAAAGTATTGAGGATGCTAATAAAAAAGAAAGGCTATTAACGTCCAAAAACAAAAACAAAAATAAAAGGAACTACAATTCTATATAAATTATCGGATTGACTAACCACTCATCATGGACAAAATCATCGCTACTTTTGAAAAAGATAGAAAGCAAATCTCTTCCTAGCTTTTTAATGAAAAGTAAAGATCCAACAACATTTCAAACACCCCTTTCAAAGACAATCTTATTCCTATCAATCCAAACACAATAACAAATCAATAGTCAAGAAAAGTTACAAAAGAAGGTTTAATCGTCGCAGATAATATAACTACAACATCCTCAAAAGAGGTCACACCTCAGGCAACTCCTTCCCCAATCAACTCCCCAGAATGTCCAAAAAAGTCCACTCCTCTAGCAAAAGAAACACCAATTTCCAAAGCCTCGCCACCTTGATACAACCAAAGAAGAGATGATCTAAGGACTCTTCCTCCAACATAAAACGAATAAGCAGTGTCGCTTCCAACAAGCTTCACACCCCTACGGCACAATTCAAGTATAATCGGTAAGACATTAGAGAATAATATCCAACCAAACAACTTGAGCTTGTAAGGTATAGAAGATTTCCGTAACTTTCACTACTACAAAACGCGTAAACAATAACGCCATGATCACCACAGTTCTTCACTACACCGTAGTGACATCTCTAAAATAAGGCACTCCCATCTTATTTTTGTTTTTTAATTAAACATTATTTGTATATAACAAAGGTTGAGAAGCCAGCAGTGGTAAAACAGTTAAATTTTCATGAGTTCAAACCTCAGAGCCATCATATATATTATTTCTTTAATGTTTATGAGCGTGTTTTCTTTTTTATTTATTTTTATATAAAAACTTAAAGGGACATTGGTAAGTTTTCATGACTACGGTTGGTAAGTTTCACTGTTGTGATATATTTATAATAAATAAATAATTATCAATACAGTTGTTAGTGAACCGCTGTGAAATAATTTACTCATATATAAGCAAATTAACTCTCACTTATTGACAGTAGCGTCGTTTTCTTCATAGTGAAACCCTAACACCCATTTTTTCTCTTCTTTTTCGCTATTAGTTGTGGATCTTGTACTTCATATGTTAAGGTATTCTTCTTATTCCTTCTTCTTGTTAGCTATTATCTCGTTTGTTGCATGTTATTTTTTTTTCTCTCATTTTTTCAGATTCTTCTTCACTACCTTAACAAAGAACAACAGTAAACTTCATCTAGTTTAAGAAGCTTTGAGAAGAAATATAAGAAGTATGAAGCTACTGTGTAAACTTCATCCACTTATATTTCTTTTCCATGGCTTCACATACTAGATGAACCTCATAAGGTGATGATGATAGTGGTAGCAAGCATATAGTATGAGTATACGAGGTACATATGGTTTGTGAAACAATATGTTATTGTTTAAATTCATATACATGTTGACATGTCAAAATGAAGCATACTTTATTATATAGTATGGATATTATTTATTTCATTATCCATATAAATTAATTTGATGTTTTTGTTGATAAATGTTGTTAGAGAGTTTGTTATATCTTATGAGATTGCTTATTTCACTAACCCATCATCGAACTTGCACTCATTTAAAAATATTTTTAAGATGATAATTTAAAAAATTAAGTTATTCTTGAAAATCAACTTAGACGATCCAATGTTTTTTCGAATTGCATACATCTTGTAAATCATAATTCCATCTTTAGAATATAGAATTTCATTCAATGTCAAAAATTCCTCAATACAATGTTGATAAATGGTGTCAGTCTGGGTCTTTCTCACAAAACTTGATGTTTTAAAAATAAATTAGAAAAGAATAGGAAATCAAAGTTTATGTGAAAGACACATACTGTTATCAATTTATCAACATTATCAATCAACACTATCAATCGCTCCTAACGACAGAGTAACACTGAATAATGTAGAGAAGGTTATTCATAAAAACATGCTAATAGTCAATGAGATGTCTGCTTTACAGAAAATTTTAAACCTTAACCCCATCAATATAAACATCGATATCACCTACTTTTTTTATTTCTTAAGAGATTAGAAAAATCTAAAAAAAAATAACTCTAAGAGAGATGGGTCTCATTCAAGGATCATCTTGAAAGAAGGCGAACATACCATATCCCATTTTTCGTCTAAAGTCATACTATTTTTCACCTCAAGTCATGCACGTATTAACGATTTACCCTTTTAAAGTTTGAAGCTAATTTTCTTTTTTACCTAATATGTTTTTAATTGAGGTTTAATTAAGAGCATCAACTCCATCCTCAAACTATCAGAGTTTACAATATTAATGATTGTCGATATATAAACTAGATTTAATAGTGGATTTTATTCTTTTTAATAAAATATATAAAATATTATATTTTTTATTATTATTATTATTATTATTATTATTATTATTATTATTATTTTAAAAATTAACATTATTATTTAATTAAATATGCTAGAAATAAGAATGTAACTTCTACGATTCATACAGTAACCACCTTTTTTTAATAAAAATTATATATTTTATTAAATATTTAAGGTCTACTAATAAATCATTTTTGAAGGTTGATGTTAAATATTATTAGAAAAGATATTATACTATTTATCTTAAAAAAATAATTCTTTTAATAAAAAATCTTTTACTAATAGAAATAAATACTTTTTGTCCCAAAAAAATCTTAATTTTATAATTTTAAAATTTAAAATTTTCGTTAAAGTGTAAGTAAGAAATTAACTTTTTTATATTTTACAATCTATTATCAAAAATATACTCTAACTCTATACATGCATCAAACAAAATTTATTTATATAGAATTAATTTTGATGCAATAGTATGTTTTTGAGGGGTTAGGTTTGGTGACTTTAGAAAAGGAAAGTCATCATAATTTTTTCTCTATTTCTCTTCTATATTGTACTCTTTTTCATCTTAACTATCATTATTATTTTTACTTTTAAATTTTATAAGTCACCATCAAAATATATTAAAGTCACCATGACTTTCATGACTTTCTTTTCATAATGTCAGTCATCTCTACTCATGTTAATGTACAACTTTTCTCAGCTTCGAGTTTATTCTTAAATAGGTAGAAACAACTGTGCTTTTGACGGCAACTTTTTTTTATAAAGTTATACAGAATTTCATGTCTAACAGATATCTCTTAAAATAAATATTTATTTTTTAAATATCCATTCTTTAAGCTCATAAAAATTTGACACAATATTGTCTCCTTTTGTATTGTTTTTGCACTAAAGCTTTGATTTGGTTGTCATATCAATAGGTCCACAATTTTCTTTAGTTTGTTCAAATAATTTCTAATATTTTTCTTGACGGCAATATACTGTTCAAGCTTCCAGTTTTTTCTAAGTGTATAATACAATTTTATAAAAAATATTTATTCGATTGTCATGTTATAGCTGAACCAACAAATTTAAGCCAGACAATTCCTAATGAAGAAACATATGAAAATGATTTCTATTAATTACTCTAGGCTTTTGAAGTCGAAGCCTAATCTAATTTGAAAATACTAATTGTGGTTTTTATAAACATGTGGATATTTTTCCGTTAGTAATTTTTTTTAGTGATAAAGCGTAGCGGAAGTAAAATAAATGAAATATATTGTTGAAAATTAAAGAGAATAAAGATAGAAAGATTACACCACAAGGTTATTTAGGTTTGGTTAAATGTTGGCTAAGTCCTATCACCAAGAGTTTTTCTTGAGATTTTTCACTATAGTCTTTTGAATTTTTATCGGTTATGCCCACGAACCTTAATACAACACGACCTTTTGAATTTTAACAATCTTCACTACAAAATAAGTTGAGTTTTGCCACGTGAAAGTCACGCCGCTACCCACCAAATCACGTCACTACCAAAAATTTGCCACCTTAAAGAACACGTCGCTATATAGCGCGTGGCAATCTCGTTGCGGCGTGAAAAACATGTCACTAAGTTGCCACGTGAAATTCACGCCGCAACATACTGTATAGGATAAAAGCAATTCAGAGCAGAGCAGAGCAGTGGGTCAGAGCAGGTTTACAATTTTTGTTACGTTAGCTTTAGCGACGTGTTTTTCACGTCACTAATTAGTGACATGAAAAACACGCCGCAACTTGATTTATTTTAAAAAAAAATATTTTCTGTTTTAGATATATTAATTATGTTTT